CCGAGTCCATTACATCTTGACATTGTAAATAATAAATACACACAAAATAAAATGTTCCACTAGTATTACAAACAACCTAAACTACTCATTACCAATTATACATATTAATTTTCACGATATATTAAGAGATAAGAAAATAGGTAATAAAATAATGATGCGTGCAATGAAGGAAGTCAGTGCCAGTGGACGGGTTGGGACGCGGGGTGCTAGTGGGCTGTAGAAAGTGGGATGCTTCACGTCATCTTTTTGTTGCCTTGACAATGGTGGCGATCTTCGCACGTATATCTGATGCTCTCACTCCCTCCCTCCTATTGATACTATTACGAAAATGCGCCTCACTATCATCCTTGGAGGGGTGGTTCAGCGCCCACATAACGGTACTAGTTTTCTGGGCCGTGATGTTGGTACACAGCGGCCTGGTAACAACACCACCAACTTGTTTATAAAGGCAGCAGTGATGATCTGGTCGGTTGATCGGTCGCACCATTAACCTCCCCTTCTCCCTCCCCTCCTTCTCTCACTTCTAACTTATTTATCTTTTTTCTTCCCCTCCCTTCTTCCATTACTTCTCCACAAACTCAACATCTCTTCCTATATCCTTTCCTTCCATCTCCTTCTCCCATCTCTCTCTCTCTCTCTTCCTCCCACCAGCCCCCTCCCCCCTCTCCTTCTTCCCATGGTGGCGGGGCAAGATAGTGTCGAGCTGCAGATGGCAACAGGCCACTTTAATATATTCCACGATCAATATGTATCAAACGGTCATAATGTAAGTACAGTACAAGTCAACAACGCACAAAATAATATATGGACGCATCGGGTGACTAATTTGGTAAAGTTTGTTAAATCTCCACCGGGAATCATATTTTTTTTCATTATAAAGTAAAGTTTCACAGTAAACTTCCTGTTCTCACTTAACCTAACCTAACATATTAGACAGAATATTAAGTCAGTTTACTCCCGGGAATAAAAAACTAACCACACCACAAGTTTAGAGAAACAGGATCAATAGCACTGTATGGTTCAGATCATCACGTGGAGACAACGAATCCCATATAATTGTAGGTTTTAGATGACGCTAAGGAATGATAACCAATTAAACTACAAAATTCACTTTACATTATGGGAAAGTTGCCCGTTATCTGTTGATGACGGGTGACGCACCACTGTGATCAAAATTCTCGCTTCTATATTCTAAGTTATTTCCGAAAACTTCCTCTGTTTTGTTCTGAAAACTCACTGACTAAAAAATGAAGCACCCGAAGGAAAAAATGTGTAAAACAGTTATAACGTTTATGAGACGACCAAAACCTTTTAGCGATGACAGATTCTTGTGTCCCGGATGTTCGTGTAGTGAAGGTAAAATAAATATACTCTGTATCAGCGTCCAATATTAGGAGGGATAAAATACTTGAAAAAATAATTTCAACGTTATATATATTAGCGGGTCTTGTGTTCAGTTTCTCCTCAGTGTAGCGAGAGAAAGTATTTAAATACAGTAAACAGACTAACATACATACAAGACAAGTTCAATGGCCCCAACCTAACTTAACCTAACGTACCGTCAGGTCAGGTCAGGTTGGCCTACAGTGAGGCGTAATGCAGCTATACTGTATAAGTGTATTAATATATACACACCTCTCGCTGCCAACTACCACACTATGGTCTATGGTCTCGCCAAATGTAAACATATACTGTACACAGGTTAGTGGGGAGATTATTAACCTAAATTGTGTCTCTACAACCACACACACACACACACTGACCCCGATGAAAACGTGTCCATGAAGCCATATTTGTAATAAAAACACCCACACACATGTACACATACATTGAGAAACGAGCACACACACACACACACACACACACACACACACACACACACACACACACACACACACTGGTCACACCTACAGACAAATACACAAACAAACGTCAACTATATCGTGAACTCCGACTTCCGGTAAGCCAGAATTCACAAAACCACTCGTCTGGCCACATTTCGTTACGGTTGAGGGGAGAGGGAAGGGGGGGGGGAGGAGCAGTGAACCCTACGAGGACAGTCAACAGGGTGATGAACATAGGAAATCCGTATTCAAGGCGTGACGTCACACCTGCGGCGCCCCAAGGAACGAGGGAAATGAATTACAGTGATCCATACCAGGTACAGGCTATAACGGGTCCCAGTCTTACTACAATATATAGGAATCAACCCCACAACGACTGGCCCCTAACCTTAGTCTTCAAGAGTCATGTGACATTTAACTTACTGTGTCTGAGGTATTAGAGATCGGATCACCTGAAGTTTACCCCCCCGGCTTATTTCACCTGAAGATTAAACACCCTAACGCTAACTAACCTAAGTAAACCCAACTTCACCACCTAACGCAATCGCTTATGTAACCTAACCTAACGCTAACCAACCAAATCAAACTTAACGCTAACAACCAAAGACAACCTACTCTAACGCTAATATAACCTAACCTAACCTCAAGCTATACAGTATGGTCTCAATATGAATCTGACGCCATCTTTGCGTCACCATTTGAGTAAGAAGCAACGTGTGTCCTGCAATAGCTCGTAACTTACTGCCACAGAACACCCAACAAAATTAATCAAATCACAAAGTATTTTTCTCACTAACTTCTACCATTATTTGTCATCTTTCTTGATCGAGTGTTATAATATTTGAGGGCGTGTGTGGGCAGCTGGGTGTCCGTAGCTGCCTGAGTCTGTAATCTATCAGGTTTAATATTAAGATAAACAAACTATCGGTCGAGAAGATGATAACTAGACACCTTTGCTGTTAACGAACGAACGGACGGACGGACGGACGGACTGACAGGTTGGCGGACGGACGGACTGGCAGACGAACTGACAACCTCAAAACAAAATGCCTCCGCTGCCTCAAAAACAACATAAACTTAATAAACAAATGACAACCTAAATAACACCAGCTCATAACGGTGGAAACTAAAATGCCATGAGATTTTCCGTGACCTCTGACCTTCAACTTTGATTAAAACTTGACGATGTGTTTAAGTCGGTCAGCTGTGAAACTTTCGTCAACTGATAAATAAGAGTACGGGTGTGTGTGTGCGTGTGTATGTGCGTGTGTAAGTATTGCCTAGTAACGGGACACACACACACACACACACACACACACACACACACGCACACACACACACACACACACACACACACCTCTCATTATTACCCACGCCTTCCCACGCCCTCCACCTCCACGGCAACATGAAGACACGGCGAAGGACACAGTAATCTTAGCCAATGACCTCAAGACCACAGACAGACAGAGACAGAAAGATCCACTGGTTGGAAAGTGTTTTGTTTTTATTTTGGACATCCACGTGGGTTGAGAGGAAAGGGGGGGGTAGAGGGATGTAGCGTATAGAGGAAGAAGGATATTGGGGGATGATGTAGGGATAGGGAGAGAGGGAAGTAAAGTAAAGGTATGGCAGACAGACAAACGCACTCCTACCTACTAAACTTCTTCAATATCCCAACTATTAGGCCCCTTCCTCCCTCCTAGAAGTCTTCCCCCCCTTCCTCGTCTCTCTTTCCTAAAAAAAATACTGAGGGTGAATACAAGAGTTGGCAGGGGCGGTGAACATCAGGGAGATTGACGGTGAGTGGTAAAGGAGAGGAAATGAAGGAAATGTTTGGTGTGGTAGAAGGTGTACGAAGGAGAGATTATTTTTAAAGGATAGGATGAAAGAAGATAAGAAAGCTAAGAAAGAACACACACACACACACATGAGAAAGTCTAAGACAACGAGAGGGAGATAGATGGTGGGATAACTTTGGTCGACTAACCTAACCTGAGTATCTGGGGTGTAATAAGATAAGTGTAGTTTGTATTAGTTGTCGCTACACTTATTTTTACTAATTACAAACTGTCTAGAATTAAGTTTTTGTTCATCAGATCTTAGCAATTCTTGAGGTAGTAGTTAAGATTTTTTTCTTCGTTTAATTTTGTCTGGTATACTTGGGGGAGAGAGATTAGTTTGTAATTTACTGGGACAGCTAATTTTTCCCCTTCTTCGGGATTAAGGTAATGGTGGCGGGGTGAAGAGAGGAGGGGGTGAGGAGGAGGAAAGGATGGGTGAAGAGAAGAGGGGTGAAGAGAGGAGAGGAGTAAAAGACGAGGGGAAAGGAGAGGTGGTAAGAAGACTGTTGGAGGAGGGTATATTATTTTTAGAGGGGTGAGGACGATGGGCTGGAGGGGAGAGAGTTTGGGGTGAAGGGAGGAGTGGATTGAATGGGGAGAGGGAGAGCGAGTAGGTTGTGAGTCACGCTGTGTCTGGGGATGAAGGTTGAGGGGAACGAGCCTAAAGTAGAATAATGTAAATACTGTATAGAGAAGGGAACACTATTATGAAGAAAAAAAACGAAACATACGGAACAAAGTATACACATTTACAGCAAATGCCGAGTAAAGGAATAATACTGAATAGATGATAAAGAAATATTTTAGAGGGAAGGCAAGTATCAGGACGAATGCTATTAAGAAGCGACAAAGGACCTTGAAAACGAAATTGCGGGGTAAGTTAATAAAAGATGAATTCGTGGGAACAAGACAGGAGAGAGTTAATTGAAAACGAACTCGCGGGATAGAGAGGGAAAAATCTAACAGAAAACTAACGCGCTGGAAAAAAAAAGCGGGAAATCTTTAAGAGAAAACAAACTTGCGCGGAAAAAATAGACCCATGAAAATTTTACAGGAAACGAGCCCGGTAATAACACTGGGTCTGGATTCTTAAGCACCCGTAGCCTAAGGACCAGCACGTATTTCTACAAACTCCCCAACCTTACATATGTGCTGAGATAATGCCTTAAGCTACAGTAATCTCACAATACCCAGTAGGACGAAAAGCATACCAAATGAATCTCTAAGGAATTCGGATTAATCTAGTTAAATATCACACAGTAAATATGCGCAGTATCTTTAAACACGAGTCATAAATAACAAGCACAGATCTTACCTGGTGTTAGAACCTCTTAAAGTGAGATCGGATCCTCTTCTCGCGATGCTCCGTCAGCTGATCCAGGATGGTAGACCACACCACCACAACCGTGTAATTCTATATATTACCACCTTAAAGTGTTATTTCCTTTCGTTCATTAAAGTTTTTATTTTATTGAACATCAACAAAACGTTATAAACAAAAACACCTTTGTTGAAAATGAAAGTAACGCGAAAGTAGAATTGCATACGCGAAAGAACAATGGTTTTGGTATTATTGTGGATGTTTTTGGTCGCGGGTGTAGGACATCTACCCTTGAATAATGCCCACACAGACATCAGGGTACCAATCCACGCCTAACTTAACTCGAACTTTACTTTAAGCTCGTACGAGAACCTAAACATGGCCTGAATCAACTCTAACCCAGCCTAACTTAACCACCGAGTCTTTACTAACCCAGCCTCTTAATTTATTTTAACTTAATTAACCTGGATAAATTTTGCCCACTTGTAAAATTGGTATGTGTCTCGTAACACACTGTACGGTTATATTTTATTACTCGGAAAAGGCCAAATGGGATTTGTCCAGTAGGATTTTATCCGGTAAGGAATTGATCCGGTGAGGATTTTGTCCGGTTGGGGATTTTCCATGGGATTTAGCGGTGTGACTGGGCGAGGAGCGTCTCAAGTGGCCAGCAGACTCCGGGGAGCCAGTAAAAATCTATATTTTTACTTTAGCAACTTCTACGTTTATCATATTATTTCTAACTCCTCACCATTTGACACCTCTGTCTATCTGTCCATCTGTATATCTGATTTTTTGGGGAGTGATGACTTTATAAATGACAACAAAAGATCACGAAAATTATATAACTATAAAACATTATTAGCAATAAACTGTAAGGCAAAATAATACAGTACTAATAAAATTAATATGATTGTCAAAAATCATAATAACTATTCAGTAAATAACAATATTACTAGTTCTAATAATAATAATAACTTCTCTTTAAACCATTTTCACGAACACATCATATTCACCACATACCTCCAATACTTTTTACTTAATACTTTTGCAGTTTATAACCGTCACAAGAAACTATACAATGAAATATATACAAAATAATATACAACTAGAGCAAAACATTAATTAACAGTCAAATGTTCATATACTGAATTACGATTTTTTTTTAATTATATATTATATAACAATTACAGCATATTATTCTATATTTATCGTATTAAATTCCAACCCAGGCCTCAGGGAACGTAATCATATGACCCCTAACAATAATAATAATAATCGCATGCCAATTATAATAATAATTGTAATAGCACAGTAGTAGTAGTAGTAGTAATCTCATATTCTGAATGAAACATTTCTATGACAGATTGACAGGGCGTCGTCTACACTCGTCACCAGGCGGTCAGCACACGCGACAGTAACACCAATTTAGTTTTAGTTCTTTTTTCACTAGTTTTAGTATCCCTCCAAAAATGACAGGTGCGATTGCCATAACCAAGAGTGACCAATAATTAATAACACGATTTTTGTAAAGCTGGGTGTATATTTCTTCATTATCTTGTTTTCGGTAATGTCTTTTGAATTTCCTCTTGACTAAACACACGATGAACTAATTGATTCGATACATGTCTAGTTACTCTAGATCTATTTACACGTAATACGTTTGATGTATACTGAAAACACTAATATACAAATCGGTAGTAAGTAGAGGTGTGTCAACACTATAATTTTACCGTAACACTACAGATTAGGCTCACGAGGACAGGCAGCACAACATAGTCCCACGACGGCCGCGGCAACACTGACGTCAGATACCAGACCACCTGTCCCTCCCGACCCCAAGCGCTTTTTGGAATCCCACGAATCTCTGCCAAACGCGAAGCGAATAATTTTTGCTTAAATATGATTCATTATTTTTATTTTCTTAGAGCGAATTTTACTATTATATGAAGAGATTTAGTGCTTCCAGACTGTGTTCTTTATTGCTTGACCATTTGTTTATAGTCATTTTATATTTATATACTGAAGCATGATTGATAATAGCAATTTCACCAGAGTCCTTGAGATGAAACTTGGCAGCCCTCCTCTGTTGCATCATTGGCTGAATGAGTGCGTGGTCCATAAGCTATAACTGAACAACATGAAGGTGAATATACTGTACCTTTACACATATCATGAGCTCGGGTTGAACTTACGTGGGATCACAAATAAACTCCAACAACCGTGTGGGAGCAAGAGGTGTCAATCATGTACAATGTCAGATTTGAGTACATTTATTATGACCCTCCGTCTCCGACATTGAACATCCTGTCTGGTAGTAGCATATTAGTTCTATAAACTAAGAGAAAGTACATTATTAACTCATGGTACCTGGAGACGATATTTGTTTCTAGTTTATCTGTAAATGAGCGGCAGTTGGTAACTATGGTGGCGACAGGTCGAGGAGGGGAGGGCGGGAACATGGCCTTGTTTAGTTGTGATGAGGCGCCGCGCGCTGAAGTGTGGTGTGGGTGTTGTCCTGAGGGCAGTAACACTAGGAGAAAAAATTGCGTGCGAGTAAACATCAATATAAAATAGGAACATACACTCTCGCTACCAGGGAAAATGTGTCTACCTCCTTCTCCGTGTATTTGGACTAGCAACACCAACACAACAGTACAAATTCACAGTATATGAATCTACCAATATGAGTTTAAAATTTGTATTTCTAAGTAGATTCGTGACCAACCTGACCAATATATAACGAAATGATAGACATGAAAATAAAAGTTTCACTTTGGCCCTTGTCAAAGTTTTAAAAAATAGACCACTTTCATTTTAATTGGTGTGTGGGATTTGTCGTAAAATATTATTTTACCCAATTTTTTTGTACAAAGTATGGGGGAAATACAATAAAGCACAGTAATAAGAGTGTTTACTAAATATGGAAACAATGACCTCAGTGAGTAGTTTATTTATCACCTTGTATTTTAACCATAAAAACAAAAATGAAACAAGTGAGGTTTCCGGGCGGTAAAGGTGAAAATTTTTAACACAGGTGAACATTGTCCCGTTAAAACTGAACGGCAGCCTAACTCGTGCTGGACCAAATGTGTAGGATGTTCATAATGGCCTTCGATGTTTATGTTGACGGAGCTCCTTTAGGGGTTTAGAAACTTAAATATCCAAAACATCAGTACCTAAGCCAGTTTCTACTCACACTTGTTCTCCTCACCATCTCAGCTGTGACTTAAGACTTTGCAGAGAGAATGGATGCGAAGAAAATGATGGGCGTATATGTCGACGTTTTGGAGGCGTAACTTCCTCAAGCGATTCTACACAATTATCATGGAAATATAAAAATACTATATACATCCACACCAAGTCTTAGAGGGATGGTTCCTGCTAAGATGCAATGGCGTGCGTTAATTGTTGGACAGAAAGAGGATGGGAGAGGGGAAGTACAGTTTACGGCTATACAACATGCCAGAAATAATCTAATGAGACTCACGTTTATCACGTACGTCTCTTATTTCATAAAATAAGTAATATCAGAGTTAGAAATATAAGTCAAATGTTGAATCATGCTTCTTAAAACACTTACGTATTCAATGTTTCTTAATGTAAATTTTCTCTACTGCAGATTTGCCAGGAGGAACGTCACGACTCAGCTGGTGCGTGACGTCAGAGATCACGCGATCGTTGTCTGAGGGACGACGAGGTGGCAGAACACAAGATAACAGTGAACATTAAAAATAAAGTAATAGATTAGTTCTACCAGTGAAAGAAAATTGTGTATGATATGAACGAATACACTGAAAATAGATATACAGGTACAGTATATGTATTTTGATGTAAAAGGAGGCTGTATGTCACGTATTTACCCACCAATCAGAACTACCGGATGTCAATTATACAGGAGTAATAACAATGATGACGTATACAGTATTATGCCGCATGTTTTTATTGTTTTAATCATTGTACTTTCATTTCTTTCGTCTGTTATGTCTTATATATATCAATGAAAATTTATTACATGTGCTAGTAGTCTTGTCTAATTGTCAGTGAAAAAATTGCAGGCGCTCTTTTTTTCAAACAAATCTTAATGTATGGAAAGTTTAAACTTGTATGGGTGTACAAGGTATAGATTCTTAGTCCAGTTAGTTTTAAAATTTGCTTTACAAATATGATTTTTTTTAAATGACAAAGAAAAAACTTATTAGTGTTCAAGATCATGATCATTCTAAAACAATCATGTAAAATGTCGGTTAAGATTTTCATTCTGAATTTTACTGAAAATTTAGTTTATAAGGATTATTTGTTTTACTTAAGAAGCAAACTTGTCATCATCACTCAACACAGGTTGATATTGTCTCAGTAATAACTGCCTTTCAGGTTTAGCTTGTAAACACTTGGTTCCAGTATACTGCTTGTTTATTTAGTGTAATATACGTACTTTAGCACACACACACACACACACACATATATATATATATATATATATATATATATATATATATATATATATATATATATATATATATATATATATATATATATATTTATACAGTATATATATATATATATAAAACACCTCACCCCGCTAGGATTCGAACCCACGATCTTATAATTGTGACCGGGGAACGCTACATCTGAGTCACCAGGTAGCCTGGTGGCCCAGAGGTAGCGTTCCCCGGTCACAATTATAAGATCGTGGGTTCAAATCCTGGCGGGGTGAGGTGTTGATTATATGTGGAAGTCTGCGTGCTTTATTGGGCCAATGAAATATATATATATATATATATATATATATATATATATATATATATATATATATCTTTATATACACACAATGTTTTTTAAAGCTTCAGCGTTTATTTTAGAGTGAATATATAACTGCAATTTATTTAAACCAATCAAATGTATAATTTTGTGACATGTTTGTTGAGTGCATCGCCTGAGGGCGAGTGTGACCGACCCTCACAACACACTGTACACCGCCACCTCAACTATACATTCTCTTCGAAAGTGTGTGCCATAATATTAACTCTAAATAGCTATATGAAGCTTTCGGCTCATGGGTTTTTGTATAAATAATCTTTATATGAAAGAAAAAATGGCGTTTTGGTAATAATCATACCGAAATCATAGCGCCTAAATATAGAAACGAGTGTATAGTTCGGGTAGTGTGTAGGACAATGAAGCCCCGTGGCAGCTTATTGTGTTTCTCGCTGGCCATTGTTTCTTGTCCAGCACAGACGTAATGTGGCATCAATTACTCGTGGGAAAAATCTAACATAGTTACTCGATATCTTTAATGTATATGAACCAATGAAGGAAATGTTGAATATGTTAACTTACGTCGTTTTTGAAGATCGAAGATGGTGTTTTAAGGTGGAGTGGATGGGGGAGGTATCTCAGTCTGTGCTGGATAGAAACGATTCTTCATTTTAAACTATGGGTAGCCAGGTCGAGTTGATTACTTTTCATTAATATCTAATTTATTAAAGGAAAAAATAAATGTTTTGACATAATTACAGCAGACTTATAACACAGAATCACTGAAATAAAGTCAGACAAAATTCCTAAAGTTAACTTTCTAAAAATATCTGCCGTAATGTTATTTAGGCATCGCGCAGTGGAAATTTAATGCCTATATCAAGAAATTTGTTGTGTTGATTAAATAAGTATCATAAAACATACCGTTAAGGCAAGTGTCATAAACTACCAGACAAGTTAACATTAGTCCGGACACTGGCTCAGGCATGGATACCTGCCACGGTCCCGACTCAAACTTTCCTCCGGTGAATATTGTAATTTTCTCTACCTGAAGACGTAAATATACATGGAAACTTAAGCTAATCTTTGAAAGTAACATCCAAAAATGGCATCAAAATTACACTAGATACGTTCCCCAGCTAGACAACAAAATTAACATACCTGTAGGTTCCGTAGAATGTTTAATATATATATATATATATATATATATATATATATATATATATATATATATATATATATATATATATATATATATATATATATATATATATATATCTTCATTATTTCTAACCTTATGTGAACGTGTATATGTAATTTTAATACCTTTTTTATGTTAAAATCGTAGACTAGTTTAAGTCGGTGTTGTTAGTTCTTACGTCTTACGTCTCGTATTCCTGCTTTTATATGTATTTGTTTCTTTATTTTGTTTAACATGTAGTTGGCGGCCGTTGTGCCTTCTTATTGTCAATGGTGCTCTTAATGCTTAAGTTATTGTATATCTTTTTGCTTAATTCATCAAGTGTGCTACAAAATTCCTTACATAGTGTATGCATAATGTGTTCGTATATATATATATATATTTATATATATATATATATATATATATATATATATATATATATATATATATATATATATATATATATATATATATATATGTGTGTGTGTGTGTGTGTGTGTGTGTGTGTGTGTGTACGTACGTATGTTTAATTTAGTAGGCTATGTATGCACGCATGTATATATGAATATATGCATTTATGATAGAATTTTTTCATAATCATGTATACATATGTAAGCAGGATGTAGCTTGATGATACATAATTATCCTATTTAATAATTTCTGTTGGATCTTACTGAAGCTATCATTGTGTTTGCCCAAGCCAGTATATTGCTTGTTGCATGTATTTTGCTATTTACTCTTTTGTATGTCTCTTTTCTCATAATCAAACTTGTTAAACTAAGAAATCTGGCAGAAATATTATATTCGATTCACAACTTGGATATTGACGAGAGACAAGAATATTTACAATCAGTACAGTTTAATAAACACTACAAATTATCGTACATTTTGAAGAATTAATGTACCCATGTACTAGTTGCCTAACACAGAGTTGATTCAGAATGTTTTATGATCAAAATTACTAAAAGCTTTAAGATAATCTAGAATATTCAAGGACTTCTAATTAAATTACCATATATCGTATTTTAACTATGACTAATTGAGAATTAAATTTCAAGAGTAAAACTCAGACCACTCGAGGGGTGAGATTGCAGTGTTTACTTCAATGTTCCACTCAATGCATCAAAATTTCAAAAAAATTACATAATATATTAAACATGAGACAAATGAAAACGAATAAACATTTATAATGTCTTTAAATTTCAAGAATTATATATACAGCATATTATGTACAAATCTTGTTATACTACTACTGCATGCTCAAGTTCATAATACTTTGACTCAAATTCTGTCGTATTCAAGAAATATGATTTGCTTATTTCATTATTCTATGCATTAACTTGGCAGTCAAAATACGGTTTATTGTTTTTGTCTACTGAATAAGTTACATTACAGTATTATTTGTAATAGTTCATTGAGCTTTCTTTCTTTATTTATGTTATATTATACTTTTCATCTTGCACCTGTTCTTGTATTTGTCTTAGTAGTTTAAGTATCATTAATTATTTTATTTAATATAATATTCCAATTTTATTTCTTATTTGTGCTTGATGTCATTTTTTTCTTTTAGTGAATATCTACTGCTAGATATCGAGATTAAGATAACAATTAAGTTTATTGTTTTGGCTTTATTCTGTTTTGTTATGCAATATTATTTTATAGGTACTTACTATGTACACTGTTCCCCTGGTATCATATACTGTACATAGACAAGAGGTAAATAATTCATAGAGTGACGGCATTTGATTGGCTGATTCTCTGACTGTTGAGAAACTGTTAAAACAATATGGTGCAAAAGATCGAAAAATCATAGTTTGTTGCTCTTGCACCATGTTGTTTTAACTGGTACTCTAAGACGCCGTCGTTCAGTCAGACGAAAGGCGTATCTATTGTCGATGTATAATTATGACAACAGGGAATCAGGTAACTCATAATGCATATACTTTATTCATTTTCTTCTAATTTCTCAATATAATTAATTGTTTACCGATTCTAGCATTTCGTCTGCCACGATTTTGAATTATGATCATGTTACCCCAAAGGAGGGAAACATTTTTTTTATTCGTGTAAACACTTAATAATTATTCAGTTCTGGGCCAATTCATTTGGAACTTGACAGGCTTGTACCTCGGTTCAGTACGCCTATACATCTGGCACATCATTTATTTTCTTATTTACTCTCTGTAACGATTTTACAAGTCAAACAACCCAAAAACATATTCTGAGTGGCTGTTCGGTTATATTTTGACCAACTGAGATGAAAGTTATCGCTTGGTTTGCATGACTGAACCATTTACAATGATTTCTGTACCAATAAGTCTTTTTATTTTATTATTTGTCAATAATATTCACCATACCAGGTCTAGATATGTTTGTGTCCTGTTGTAAATATGCAACATAGACAACAGGTAACAACCTTAGTCTGCACCTGGCTTTCTTCATTTCATTATTTTTTAAACTAGAATTACTATACATATAAACACTTCGTAATTATAATACTTTTGTTCTTAGAGTTTAATATTTTAGTTCAGCATACACTTAATTATTTTAACTTATGTTATTTCGCTTTGTTTCTACAGTATATAAACCTAATTTACTTAAAGCATATTGTACTATCAAGTTTTCAATACGCACTTACCGCTGCTTAACAAGGCCAGTAAATAAAGGAAGGGAAGGTGGTTGATTCAACAGTAACCAATGAAAGTTTATATTTTCATTGTTCTTTTTGTTTTAAGTGATGGAACTATTAAGGGTAATTGCACCGTAAAAATAATACTTGGTTTTCAAATAATAATATACACACTGTTAAGAGGCCGTTGTGCGTATTGTATCTTATTGACCTTTAAGTTTTAGTATCAAAATATATTATGATTAGTTTCTTTGAATTAGACATACCACTGGAAGACATGAAAAAACCAACGTTAGAAAAGTACAGTACTGCAAAAAGATCAATAAACCATTAATTTTTCAGTTAAATGAGCCAACCAAACCTAACCTAACCGAAAACTACACTACGATCATTTAGCTTAGGTTAAATGCAGGTCGCTTAGATATAAATAAACATGAATAAATTTGCATGATTTAACGTTCCACTGATTACATTGTCATCAGTTGTTTATAATTCATAATTTATATATAATTCTCGGTCCTTTTCGCTATACTTTTCGAGCATTGGTCGTCACATACAAGTAATGTTTTCCTAAATCCAGTCTTCCATTAGTGTTAGCCAACCTCGGTGAAGCTTACCAAGTTTATCGTTTTATTAACCCTTTTAATTTATACGAAGTGTCATTTATTCTATACTACAAATAAGGTATCATTCCATTTAGCCTTACTTTGTTCAATGCAGTTGTGGCTCTTATTCTTACCTAAGTTTCGTTGTAAAAAAGACGAGAAACGGTTGGATCTCATCAACAACGCATAATTATTCCCACCACGTGTTTATGCCTCGCTCTTTATTCTGTGTATTGTAGTTTTGCTTCTGGTAAATATGTCATGTTTGCTGTATGTTCAACGGGCCACTACACAGTAGGGGACTAGTTAACTGTTTTGTCGTCACTTTCATTTTCAATGCTTTACACTGTTTTTATGTTGCCATTATCATTATTTCGCGTCTTCTCTATAAGCACCGAACTTAATTGTTCTTTTTGTTTGGGTTCTTATTATTGATCTCCTTATACTGTATATGTAGATGATGCTTTGCTTTTTTCCAGCATATTTTTGTATCGTCGTCAATCAGAATATCATTCTTAAATTTATTTTGTTGGTGACAGACTAGTGTGTTTACTAATGAAAAAAACGCTTAAAGACCTCAGTTGATGAAGCGTAGTAATAACTTCTAAAAACAACTTCTGTTACTGTGTTTACGCTGGAGGCTGGTCGACTGGTTTGTATTCTTTCAGACTGCGTTTAGATGGTTGCCGAGTTGGGTGCTTTAGTTTCATTAAAATTAAACACGCAAAGTTTTTTGTTATTTTTTTAATGCGTGATAAAATACAAAGGTTCTTATGTTAGTACAATTAATTTTGTTGCAGCAGATAGTTACCAGCTGTACAAGAAGTTTTGTTTCTTTGTTAATTTCTAGTGTTATGTTTTTGCAATAATTTTGTTACGTTTTCATTTTGTTTCTTTTACGTTGTCTTTTTATTTTTGTAGCATTTGTTTTCAAAAAAACAGTTTCCAAATAAAAAAAAAGCCCAAAAATATTATATTATAATTAGAGTGTAAGAACAGACCTGCAGTATCTACTTACTAATAAAAAAATCAATTTAGTCTTTATAATATTTTTGGAATATAATAAAATACTTCACTATCATACTATATTAATCTGTAAAAAAAAATAAAAGTAATAAGGAAAATTATCCTCATTAAATATAGACAGTAATACGAATAAAAATTGTCAATATTGTTTTGTATTATTTTAGCCTAATTTTCAGTATTTCGTGAAAGTTGAAAATACTATATTGTACTGCATAAATTTGGATTCTATGACATACAAGGACCCCCTCTGAAATATGTGGACCCTTCTGATATACCGTATATCTAACCGGAGTATATCCCTACGTGGAAATTGTGTAGTACGATAACAGTAGTGGTCATCAGTTTATAGAGGGCCCAAGGGATCCCTAAACACCCTTTCCCTCCGAAGTGCACGGTCATGAGCTAATGCAATCATTAATGCCATCTTCATAACTTAACTCATTTGAAGTACGTCTGGCGTTTGTATATTTTGGTACGGGTTGTATAATAGAGAAAACGGGAGTTACATGACCTCATTTCCGCTTTGAGGAAGCTTACGAGACTTCCGGAGCCACCGCATGTTACCAAGAAAAGTCAGCCATTTTAAATCGAGATGTGGATTTCGTAACTCTTTGGTGCTTTATCAACACAGGAGATATTATGAACTTCATAAGCGCTTGAAAAGCTCGTAACCCGTTAATGAATCCCCGGTTAAAAAATGGTTATATTTAAGCGCATGGCGCAGAATAAAAATAAATTACCTTACAGAAACACCCCAGGAAAAATACCAAGCAAGAACATAGGCGGAAAAGTTTGTGCAAATTAATATTAAGTAATACTGACGAACTTTATATCTAATCAAAACAGCAGGGAAACTTTGTCACGCCTGATGCGCCATCTTTGTACTGCCAATGAGCATCTAGGAAGTTCAAAATTTTAATATTTTCAACCCATCAGCGGCGAGTATTCCTCTATATACTGTATTTCCAGCCAACCTCTTCAGCACAGGGCTGTCGAGATTTCCCACTCTTGTTTATCGACCATGCTGATTGGTTCAAATCTGGTAATTCGTCTGCTAATCGGTAAACCGCCAAAACTTGATGACGTAGTCGGTAAAACGTTACCTTAGGAAATATGCTTTTTCATGGCTAAAATACCATATAGAATACACAGAAATAAATTGTAGATGTATTTAATTACCTTACTTACATTATATTAGCGATATTTTAGCAGAACTAAAGTAATAAAAATTACAATTGAAAAAAATACAAATCTAATGTGATCTCATATAACACTCTGAATGGTGTATAATGCAGTGTTTATTATTCAGAAATTTATAAAACTAATGACAGGAACAATGACATTCAATGAGTATGAGGACTACTCTAATATAATTACTGTATCTGGGATCTTCGTTACCCTCACCACACATGTTCTCGCAACCAATCAAAACGCGAGCAGTTGAACCAATCAGCGTGTTCGGTCAACAAGAGTCGGACATCTCAACAGCCTTCACTAAGCAGTTCGTGTCCAGTCGCTTCTCAGTGTGTGTGTGTGTGTGAATATTATTTGTTAAAAATTTCGTTCCAGACATTTTTATATTAATCCATAACTGAACTTTAATGCAATAGACATTTGAGTGAAGGTTGACAGCCTTAGAAGAGCTGTAACTTGTGGCCAATGTAAGAGACACACGCAGTTAACATTAAGGTAAGATTTGGTTAAGTTTTATCAAGTTTGGTACATTTTACTTTATTTTACTCTTCACTTTTAAGCCATTTGCACGAGATATGAAGGCCAGAAACAATCAAAGCACCCAACATTACATTATACTGTATAACGATATAAAATTAACCATTGTTGTTATGTTACTGCAAGGAAGGTGTTTAAGAGCGTAACATTTAAGTAATTATGAGATTGAACTTTAACCATGAAAGCAGAGGCGGGCTTTAATGATATATTTACCTAATAAAATACAACAAGAAACCCTCGTGAAGTTAACTTGTCTATATAATAATGATTGTAAGAGTTTGTTAAGGTTTATATTGCACCCCTACGTACCTTGCTCAATGTACAGTATTGGAACAGCAGCTCATTTAAAATGATTGGTAAGTTTCACTGATAAAAAAAATGTGAAAATATAATCAAGTTACCGTACCCATTTCATTCATTGCTTCGTTTGGAATATATTTTATTTTTTAGTCTATTTTATTATTATTTGAGTAGAGGCGGGGGTTATAAATGTTTAAATTGCACTCCATTGCAGCCCGCTTTCGATTAATGTCACAATTTTCGTGTCCTTAAAAAAAAAAGTTATTGATGCTTTTGACAGACATTTCACAACTCATCCCCTTTGAGATGTTTATAGATGAGTAGAACAAATGACTAAATAACATTATAACGAGCGATCGGTTTTGGGTAATTTAAAAGGTTTAATCAGAGGCTAACACAGCTGGTTGTGTTATTTAATGTCTCATCCACGGCCGATCATATGTCACATCTGTCGTATAAGACATATGTTGCCATGCACACTGTATACAACTAACGGGTGATTTTTTTTATTAAACTTCGTGGATATTTTGCCGTGACCGGCTAAGTTAAGTTCCTACTAACGCTATTTTACCGCGAGTGCGCTCTGATTAGCTAAGTACTTTATGTTTAATATAATGGGTCCGCCCCCCTGCTAGGAAGTTAAGTAAGATTGGGTAGGTTTCTTTGGTTGGTTAGGTCAGGTTCTTTTAGGTTTTAGTAAATGTCGCCTTTTTTATAGTAATGAGAACATGTGGAAACAATTACCAAAATGGAACAACTCCTTGTGGTTAGGTATGTTTATAGCAACACAATGATCGACTCACGACGAAATAAATGCCAAATGCCACCAGTCACGGTCACATATCGTTCTCACGTCGTTCGTCGGTAATGGACGAGTAGCCACTCAGCGCACTTACGGTGAAATAGCGTTCGTAGGAACTTACCCGGTTACGGCAAAATATCCATTGCCGATACAAAAATGTTTCCCCCTAAAATGCATTTTCTAGTTCAGATTATTTACAGAAAGCGTAAATCAAGAATCTTTATGGTACACTATATTAAATATCCAAACTACCACTTCCATGTATCCAAATTTAGTTAGAAATGTTGAACTAATGTTCTTAGTTAAGAGTGTTTCTTTATTATGAATTTTCTATGGATATGGATTTAATAGACTTTCTGTACAAGGAAGCTTATCGTCGTTAGGTTTGGGCACGGGAACATTTCTCAGTTGGGAACACTGGGATAGATAGATATATAGTTTTATGTAAACTTGGCATACAAGATTACAGTTGATCTGGGATGTATATAGATATTGAAAATATACATTGTGCAACTGTACATAGACCGTGCAGGTATACTATACTGTCTACACACCGATTAACAGTAAGGCAGTTTGACCAAGGATAGCCAACAGTCATGGGCATCCACAGGTGCGGTATGTGAGGTCTAGGTAGGTTAGGTCAAAGGTCATTTATCACATGTAACTGAGGTTAAGGTTGTTCGGTTAAGATTGTTTTAGCTTGTTTCACCTGCTTATTAAGCACACTACCGCGACCTGGGGGTGAGGTTTTGTTTGTTTAATGTTAGGTTAAAGTTAAGTTAGGTAAGGTTAGGTTAGCTTGTTTAATCTTCATATGAAATAAGCTGGGGTGCCTAATCTTCAGAAGAATTAGTTGGGGTGGTAATCTTCAGGTGTTCCGTTTAATGTTATTCCAGACTTTGTGTACGAGGGGCGGTTTATTTCTCTCACCTGGGTGTCATTCCCGTGAACGAACATGTCTCCCCCCCCACATACTGTACACATCAACTTACTGGACACAGGTTCTGAGCTGACTGCCCTGAACTGCTTCCTTGTGACAGCCATCATGCCTGGAGGTCACAACAACTCACTGTAACTACACAACATGGGCACAGTGCACACCTTCAAAAACAAACGGATTACTGCCTAACTGTCTTTCTAATACACAAAAAACTCTTGAAATACTGTTCAAAATTATTGCACAAATACTACTCAACTTATTACTCACTCCCGTAGTGATAATACTGGAATGTGAACTCTTACTTTACTTCTTCATTGATGAATGCACAAGAAAAACATCACTGTACTCTTTGTCACTTTTCAAAAACACTTACTGTGCACACTCAAAGGTAATTGTACTTGTTATTGTCAATCTCTGTAGGGTGCAACACTAGGAACTCTTCCGGAATTACACTGTACTCTACCAAATCAAACAACTTTAAAGAGAACCAAAGACATTTCCATTACTGAGAGTCACGCTCTCAAAAAATAAATTGGTAATACTTTACGAGACTGTCCCCTCGGTACTCAACAAGTATTCACTGTCTTTCCAATTGTAAAGATTTAACACTGTTATCACTTCACAATGTACTCTGTTGTATTCACAAGTGGGGGTCCTTACATGTACTTTCAACATTCAATTTTCAAAGATTGCATTCTTTTACAGATGTCCATGTCACCACAGAGTCCTCAACTCATCAATGCAATTGCTGAAATTATACATGTATTAGATCTCAAATAAACATAAAACACACTTACTGACAATGCCTGTCAGTCTGCACTGCTAGAACTAATGCCCTTGGCACTAAAATCATAAACTACTTGAAACAACACAAGAATACAATATACTCGGACATATAACGCAACTCACGTTATACAAATAAATTCACTTGTCAAAACTGACGTCAACTGAGAACTAAAACACTTCCACTTGAAGTCAAAACAAATACATCCAATATGTCACAATTTCAAATAACACTCAGTTACATAACCTTAGTACAATTATGGCCTTCCGGTGACACTCAGAAATGAACACTGCCCACAACACTCCTAAACACGGCAATTATTCACTGTTCGCTCATTTTCTGTAAATATCAAAGTATTAACTTGAGTGATCACAACAACTGCTATGCTTACTAGTGCAGAAAGGCACCCCAAAAAAAATAATTACCTTGGTATACAACCAACACTTTCTGAGATTTCACAAAAAGAATGCAAAAAAAAAAAAGTTAGGTAGCTAACCTCTGTTTCTCAGACACTTTTCAATACTCTGAACATTTCAAGTTTCCACACTTTACTGTACACTTTACTTTAAAACAGATTTTTAATTTTCTTGAGGCAATTCCTAACCTAACTTCAAGTAAGGTATTTACCGTGAACTGTTTTCAACTTCTCCGTAAAACCACAGAATTTTTTTTGGCACAGAATTACATACTCTACTGTACACTGGAAAAATTACGGAACAAAATTATTAGTAATCTGAAATATTTATTAGTTACAGTGAAATGGTTAGGTACCTGTACCGAGAAATGGTTATTACAAATCACACTTTAAAAAAAAATACCCACAGTATCACATTTATTCCTCCTGACCTGATACCATGTGAATTACATCCCACAGCTGCGAACCAATGTACGAGGGGCGCTTTCTTCTCTCACACCCTGCCCTTATCTTATACTCTTACTTCAACTGTCTTAGTTCTTTCAATTGTTCTTTCTACTTACTTCAGTTCAATGGTTACTACATAACCTCAATTCTTTTTGGTAGCATGTCGAGGGTCTAGGCACATGGGTATTGTAATTCTGATATCAAGTCACTTGGACGGAAATAAAGATGAAATAGTGCAGGGAAATGAATACTGCTAAAATACTTAAAGAACAGGTTTATTAATATGAAATCAAAGGGAAAAAGAGATATTATTAACATATAACTTCAAGGTGCAACTCCTCGCTTTACTCAACTGCAAATGACTCAGATATTACACTCTTACTGCACACAACCTTACTGGTGTTACATTACATTACATAGCAGGACCAGATCCTTGGCCCTACTCACAATACATAGTTATATGACAACTCCTTGGCTTCTCAACTGCCAATCCAAGTGGATACTTACTTCACCCACATCTTCTAGTGGTACATTTCATTACAGTTACCAGGCTTTACTCATAGTCCCAAGTGGACAACTTTACTTCTCACACATTACTAGGTACTTTTCATTACATCCAGTTATAAGACAAACTTACTTATGATACTTCACAGACTGTTGGTGCATATGGGATGCACTTGCAACACACAACATGTTAATAATGAGACCAACAACTTATACATGGGTCCACTACCCAACATGGGATAATTACTTCCAATTAATTATCCCCAACATATACAACACACTCTGGACCATATAACTCCAAGGCATGTCTCAGGGTATAGCACTGGCGCCTGTAACACTGACGATCGCTGTTGTGGTCGGTGGAAGCCAGACACATGGCGAGTCGGGTGTCTGAGGCACACGAGGCGGACCTGCCGTCTCAATCATGTCGAATCACCGACATCGGCCATATATTGATCCCTGCTGGTTATCCACCGGCTGGGGCGGCCGGTGGGGTGTTAAAATAAGCCCACCCTGGATCTGTAGGACAACGAAGTTGGAGAGCGTTACGGAGGCATGATCCTCCTTCTCACCCATGGTTATATACCCCTGAGTTGCCAGCGACTGCTACTCACGCATTGACAGAAATTACAAACAAACCAACTGTTACACATTCAAGGATGACCCTCAGTTGACAAAGGTGTGGCGAATTACTAAAGTTGATCTACACAAACTAATTCAAGATAGAGCTTGCCAGTAGAAAGTGGAATAAAAACGTATTGACAGTTGTGTTCGAAGGCGGGACTTACTGGGAGGGGTCCTGCTGCAAAACGAATGGGAAAAACGCGTCTCTTCTAGGGGATAGCTAACCAGCTACCCACTCATGTTTTGCGGTCGTGGAGTGTAATAAGAATCAGGTTCTAAAACAGACTAGCAGTCAACGTGACCATGACACTTGGCCATAAAAAAATAATTAACCATGAACTAATGGGAATAATTGGTTCGGTTTGGCTAAGGTCATGTTTATGCTTACAATAGGTTAACGTTATGTTAGATTAAGGTTATGTTAACGTTATTACGTGAAATGTTAAATTAAAGGTTTGATTAATGTTGTTAGGTTAACATTATATTTTGTTAATATAACCAACCACCATCACCAACAGTGGTAGCAGCAGGGAGACGGGTGAGGGAGAGGGGGGAGGACTAGCTAGAACAGATGAGTTATACTTCAACAATCGTCGTTTTCTGTCAAATATAAGTCTCTTCCATTTTCCACCAACAGGTTCCCACATCTCTCTCTCTCTCTCTCTCTCTCTCTCTCTCTCTCTCTCTCTCTCTCTTACAATGACATTTCCGATCATTTCTCCCCCAGTTTTATTATTTTTGTATATGGATATGTATTTTTACCAACCCCAGAACGTGTGTGGATGTGGGTAGGGGTGGAGGCGATCGGTCAATTTGTGTGTGTGTGTCATTCAGTCACTTAATCAAATTAGCCCAAAATAACTACCTCATAATGGCCATAACTACCTCATAATGGCTATAACTCCCTGATAATGGCCATAACTACCTGAAAATGGCCGTAACTACCTGATGATGGCCATAACTACCTGATAATGGCCATAACTACCTAATAATGGACATAACTACCTGATAATGGTCATAACTACCTGATAATGGCCATAACTACCTGATAATGACCATAACTACCTCTTAATGGCCATAACTACCTCTTAATGGCCAAAACTACCTCTTAATGGCCATAACTACCTATTAATGGCCATAACTACCTATTAATGGCCATAACTACCTCTTAATGGCCAAAACTACCTCTTAATGGCCATAACTACCTCATAATGGCCATAACTACTAATTATTACTTAATACTACCTCTTAATGGCCATAACTTCCTCTTAATAGCCTTAACTACCTTAATGGGCCATAACTACCTCTTAATAAAACTACCTCTTAATGGCCATAACTACTTCTTAATGGCCATAACTACCTCTTAATGGCCAAAACTACCTCTTAATGGCCATAACTACCTCTTAATGGCCATAACTACATATTAATGGTTATAACTACCTCTTAATGGCCAAAACTACCTCTTAATGGCCATAACTACCTCAACGGCCATAACTACCTCTTAACGGCCATAACTACCTCTTGATGGCCATAACTACCTCTTAATGGCCATAACTACCTCTTAATGGCCAAAACTACTTCTTAATGGCCATAACTACCTATTAATGGCCATAACTACCTCTTAATGGCCATAACTACCTCTTAATGGCCCTAACTACCTCGTAATGGCCATAACTACCTATTAATGGTCATTACTACCGCTTAATGGCCATAACTACCTCATAATGGCCATAACTACCTATTAATGGTCATTACTACCTCTTAATGGCCATAATTACCTCTTAATGGTCATAACTACCTCTTAATGGCGCACACTACCTCATAATTACCATAACTCCTTTAACAATGATCCATTGACCTAGGGCAATCTTGGAGAAATTAGGTCAAAGTTGCAAGAGTAAAGAGGCGAGAATGTGTTATGTATGCTACTGGGCTTTATCACTATTACTAGGAATTTAAAGAGTTTATTCACGTACTGTACTTGTTTCTGAACCTTTTACCAGTGCTAGATGATTAAGGAATGTTACTAGTGTACCTTGACTGTTGAAAATTATAATGAATTTATTTTTTTACGTAAAGTTAAATCCACTACTAGAAGCAAAGATATATATATATATATATATATATATATATATATATATATATATATATATATATATATATATATATATATTTATATATATACCTGTACCTGCCCTAATACTGTGTAACTCTTAACAAGGCAAATAATATTTGTTTTAGGCACAGTGGATATATTTTATTCTGCATCTAACTTGCTTTGTTTTCACAGGGTGGGAAGTAACTCTCAGTCACAAGAGGAAAATTTAAGAACCAGCCAAATTATAAAGAGTTATACCAAGATATCAAGATTTAAATATCACCCAAAAGGCGAAGAATTAGATACCAGCCAAGAATTCACTACCAGTCAAAAGATAAGGAAATATAAGTGTTGTATTTGTGTCAGTTTAAGGTGAATTACTGCTCAATAAGTGTATGTATATACAGTATACAGTATATGATTAATCAAATACCGTACCAGCCAAAGAAATTAACTATTATCACATAAGCAAAAGCTGACCCCTGTGTGTAATCTTTTATATGTCAAACCAAAGACTGATTGTGATAATCATAAGAAAAGATAACTGTAACTTGTGATAAACTGACAGTAAACTGAAAGTGACAATGTATTAAAGAAACAAAAAGTATGAACATTATGACAAATCTTAGAGATGTAAGAAAGAATAAGACTAGTGATGAAAGAACTAGGATATTATTATTGAAAGAAAAGAAGACTGAAATGCTTCCATCTCTACGGCCACCACACAAGGGTTAAGGTAATTGAAGATTTACCCGTTTTTAGAGTGTACTGTACTATATGTATAGGGTTCAATACGACAGTAATTTAAAAATCTAAATTTCATATCACCTTGAAAAGTTTGTTACCTGTACAGTACTAATAAAATTTAATTGTTCTGTTCCTGATTACAAGTAAATAGTTTTTTAAATTAAGGTATTATTAAATTTCAAGTTAAATATATTGAAGGTCCATAAACCACAGATTTGTGATTTGTTGACCCGTGTGCCGTGATTTGTCAGGGGAGGATATTAGATGTTCTCTGCCTGCTGTATACAGTACTAACACCTGCCCCGCCAGTATTGGATACCTAACGGTGCTAACCTCAGGTACTGAGACAAACCAAGGCTTGTAAGATTTTCAGGTTTAGGGTTCAGTTCTGCTAACACAAATTTACAGAGTAGGTTCTTGTGTCTGTGTTATACAGTAGTTAACACAGATGTTTAGTGTTTTATTTCAGTTCACCCCAAGATACAAAGAAGCCACAGTGAAGATAACCGAGAAACAGTAAGATTTATGTGTGCTCTGACAGAAAAAAACAATTGTGTAATCAAAGAAAAATAAAGTGAAAATAATGACATTAAAGACATTTGGAGAGAAAGTGATGGTATTAAATTAAAAAGGTGATGAAAAGAGTGAAAGAAATAAAAGCAAAGAAACAATGAGTATATCTGGAAGTGATAACAAAATAATGGCTGGAAATATGATAACATGCAAACAATAATTGCTGGAAGTGATGATGTAAAATAATAATGACTGGAAATGATGAAAACAATACTGAATACTTTGGTGACATCAACTTAGGATCAGTCAATGCAGATATATTACCACCTCAGCGCAACACACACACACACAAGGTAATACAATTATTATTATTATTATTATTATTATTATTATTGTACATCTTCCTATTCCTACTAGTTATGTTTGTATTGCTGAGTTCTTATACAGTACAGTAATGGAATTTTTCTTGTTTTTGATCACTTTGTTTCTTTCAATTACTATTATTTTTTACTTTGGCTGCCCATTCCTACTTTACACATCAGCGAATTATTTAAGCAATACAAAATTCAGCTGGACAGGGTTGATGTTCATATTAACTGAATGGGGAATGTCTCCATACACTATTGATATACAGTACAGGTATACAATAAATACAGTACTATAAATACAGTACTATAAATACAGTACTATATATATATATATATATATATATATATATATATATATATATATATATATATATATATATATATATATATATATATATATATATATATATATATATATATATATATATATATATATACGGTATATTGTTCTTCCCCTCTGGTCTACTTTCCTTTGATTAAAATGAAAATAGAGATGATTCTTTTAAGAAATATGAAGCACAGAGTTAAACTGAACCTTTTTACTGAATATATTATTACTGTTATCAAATACTTACCCCCCAAAAGTTTATATATTCTTACCATTAATTCCCATTTACTAATACAGTACCATGAATACTTTCCAGGATGTGTGCTGGTATGACATGGAGCTTAAAGTGAGTGACCATTGAAAAAAGAAGAGAACCCTTACTTCACCTCCACCAGGTACTGTGCTCTAACTACTAGTTCATAATTTACCTAAGATATACCCCACCTTGTGGTAGCCACATCGGGGGGAGCCGGTAACACTGTGGTAGACTCTTCCATAGGTCTACCACTATCCGTGTGAAGAAACCCTTCCTTATTTCTGCATAACAACTTAAGGGCTGGAAGCTATGACCTCTTGTGTTTGTATTACTTTATATGATACTTAGAAGAAACGATCTTGCTTTACATTTTCTTTCCTTTTCAAGATTTTGAAAATCTGTTTGGTCTGTCCTGTCTTGTCTTGTTTAAAGGGTTATCATTAATAAGGCTCTCAACCTGTTTGAATATTCGAGATGTCTTACTTTACTGTAGGTATAATTATAGTCATCGCCTTACGTTGCTCTTATCTAGTTATGTTATGTCCTTTCATAGACCGGGTCTCCATGCGTGTATATAATAGTCTAGATGGGGACACCAATGATGTAAAACTGAATGGGTTTTGTCTGTTTCTCTTCACTGCTGCACCAACTAGTTTTACTGCTTTCAGTGCTTGATCTAACACGGTGGTTAAGTCATTTGCTTTATCTTCAATTGGTAGGAAGTTATTTATCATGGGTAGTTGTGTTTTGGGTCATTGTGACCCACATTAAAGTTCTCACACTTTGCTGCATCAAAAGTATTTACCAGTCCTGCTACCATTTAAAAAGTTTATGTATCATCTCTCATGGTTGTAAAATTCTACTGACTTGCCATCATATTGTAAATCTTTGTATCGTCTAACTTGATTATGTAATTCAATATATTTTCCTCTAAATCTTTTATTTACTCCAGTGAGTACGTCTTCCTGGTTACAATATAACTGTGTTTATCATTATGACAACTCCTTGATACTGCACATGTCTTTGAGTCACTGTTTTATCCACCCCAATATTTTGCCTGTGATGTCATGTACCTGGATTAATGATGTTAGTCTCGCACACGGAACTTTGTTGAAAGCCTTACAGAAATCCAGGTACAACAGATCCTTTGGTAAACCTTTGTCAGTATATTCTGTTACCGTGTCGTATTTCGTGGGTGGGCACCATATCGAGACTTCAAGAGAAACTTTAACCGCTGTTGCTAGAAGGTCTTCTCCAGGGGTCCTGTGAACTAGCCTCTTGGTTGCTCAGCCTTCCTTTGGTTTCCACATCAGTGTGAGAACATCGATGGTCAGTGAGATCCCAGAGCCCTTATAAGGCAGTATTAAGTCCCCTTTAATTGCAGTGGATTTTCCCCCGTGTTCGGTCAGTTGCGACGGGGCTTTGTCTTTAGCTTAATCAATACAACCATCTATACCTCTCGTTCACTGTAATTCATAATATTTCCATTGAATTCAGTTCTAATGCTAATCGATTTTGGGTAATTTATTTTTGGTCTCAGATATTTAAACTTAGACTAAATACATATTGTAGAAATTTTGGATCACCTGAGGATTAATTAGCCCCCACCATCCAGCTTTTTCCCCCTTTAAAATTAACCAACCCAACCCAACTCAACCTAGCATAATCTAACCTAACCTAACCTAACCAAACTACACCAAATCAAACTTAACCTATTCTAACCTGGGGGAAGGCAAATCTCTCACGCAATCGGAAAAGACATCAAGACACCAGAGGGACAAAATGAAAAGAATCGCCCACCTCCACAAAGAAAAAAAAATAGTCACTGTCTGAAAATGGTGAGAAAGAAAACAAAGATATGAGTTGAATAAGAAGACGGGAAGACGGTAAGAGTGAATAAAAGTAAATTAGATGAAAGGATTTGGCAAGAGGATGAGGGGGAAAATTCAGGAAAAAGGAGTGAACTATTTTGGAGAGAGAGAGAGAGGTATTTTGCACAGGGAACGTAATTTACACATGAGAGAGAAATTTAGAAAAAGATGGAGATAATATTTTAGAGAATTGATAAAGATGGAAGAGACGAGAGTAAATATATGTACAGTTTAGGACAAAATTCCCTGGACACTTTTAATAGTCATATACCTGTATGTGATTGGTCTATGTAGCTGAACACTTGTTTTACATATTTGATTTTACCAGTTTATTGCACCGTAAGATTAACTGTCCCAGCTTAAAATAAATCTAACCTAACCTAACTTAACTTACCTTTGTTCCTAACCTAATCCCTAGACGCCCAGAGAGCATTGGAGTGTTTAAATCAGGTGAAATAAACCGAGAGGGGTTAATTATATTCAGGTGATTCAAAAATGCCTAGCGTCAGGTAAAAAATTGACAGCGGGAACAGATTCTGTGACATGCACTCGCTAGTCATAAACAGAACAGACTCGCCGGTGTTTTTAGAGTCGGTTCATAATTTGTTTGGGTTTTCTGATGCAACAAGTCTCGTTTTCTTCAGTCATGCCTGTCAGCATCCGTGTTGATAGAAAACGGAAGGAATTTATGGAGTTTTTACCTGAAATTGATTTTATTATATTATTCCAGAATTTATTGTTTATTCTTGATCATTTAGAAAATTGGAAAAATAATTTGTCAATTGGGCATATTGTTAGACGATGAGTGATTTTTGACACTGACTTGTTGACATTTTTGGGAATTATCCCACCCGGGCACAAGTCATTGACCCACATCGGAACCTGGGGCGAAAATATATTAATAATAATAATAATAATTTTAATAATAATAAAAATAAACCATAAATAAATACGAAAAAAAAAGAGTGAGAAACGATATACTGTATGTATGTTATGTTGTCAATAGTAAGAGAAACAATTGAGACCCTGCGATTGTGTGGAAATGAGGCAGAAAGTCAGATCAGCAACCTGGGACTTGGTCACAATTTTCGTGATGCCATATGGCAGCAGGGTCTACTGTTAGACAACACATTATGCTTCCAATATCTTCCCAGAGTCGTACGCGGAGGTTATAGTTAAAAACTTCTTATAGAAGTGGATCTAAACAGAAAATTGCTACTTTCTTCTATTAATATGCGAATGTATCCAAAGGCCGAGGGTGTGCAGCCTTAGATAGACCTGATGATAGATAAATACAGTATTTATTCAGTCAAATCGTCATACTAGTTTGCAATGACTCAGTATGTATATATACAGTTCAAGTACAGTACAATTATAGTATACATAGACAGTGCAAGTATATAATTTACAAAGACAGGGCTGGTATACATTATATATAGACAGTGTAGGTATACAATATACCTAGTGCTGGTATACAATATACATAGTGAAGGTATACAATATACATATAGTGCAGGGATACAATAGACAGTACAGGAAGACATTATATACAGTACAGTGCAGGTATACAAACAATGTTACAAAGCCAGTCAACATGTCCTTTTTCACTATCGCCTTGAGAGGGTTAAGACTCTACATGTCTGTTTGGACGGGAAGCAAGGAGTTTTTTGACGGTTTGACAGTTATTGACATTTTGGGGACATTTTGGAACGTTGTTTACACCCGTGTTCTGTAGTTAACGCGCTGGAACAGGTGTGTGTGTGTGTGTGTGTGTGTAAAGGAGAGAGACCGTAGGTAGATTGGGTAAATGTGTACGTTAGGGGTTATGTATATGTGTGCGTGTGTGTATAGTCAATAGTGTTTTCTCTTGTCCAATTATAAACAAACACGCATCTTTATATCTGCCGCGCGCTATGCCAGGAAGAACAGTTCAGTATCCCTCATCATCTGTTGACATTCAATTACACTTGACCCTGTTATCATGAACCTCATAAAGGCTCCCCTTGATCGTTAACCCGCCTTCATCCTCTCTCTCTCCACCTCCTCTCTCTCTCTTTCCCTATCTCTCTCCCTCTCTCATCTCCTCCGCTACCATCTTTTCCCCAGGTTAAATGACCTTTGCTCTCCTTGCAATGGATATTTTTACATGCACAGGAGACCTCGCTGCCATAAATTATTCCGTGCAGCCTCCCAGTGGTCCCGACCGTTTTCTATGAGTCCCGGGTGGCGGGTAGTGCCATCTGTTGGCAGTGGGGTGAGACACAACCCGGGGTAAACATGGCGAGACTCCCGGTCAGCTGGCAAGCCCAGTGCTGGTTGAACCTGTGGTGTGAGTGAGTGTGTATAACCCCGCTCGAATGGCGATGACTTTTGTGCTTTCCTAGTGCTATTTGTACTCAAAAATTGGATTACGTCTTCCGCCATGTTACCCGCCGGCAAAGAAGGTAAGAAATTGAGGCTATCAATGTACGGTTTGAGAGATAAAATTGAGGAAGTGTAGACTATGGTACGGGTGTGTCGTCTGCTAACAAGCTCAGCTGTGAGTTGCGAGCGTGAGTGTGTGTTTGTGCGTTCGTGTGAGAGTGTGTGTGTGTATGTGTACGTGGGAGTGTGCGTGTCCACCTTCAGGTTTTTGACTCGTTGCGTCTACCGTCCACGGCTCGCGATGTAATTTTAATGCTGGTCGCGTAAGTTTGAGTGAGTCATACAAAAGCGTTTACCCACTGTACTGTTCCTGCGGGTCATTATACGGCGAAAGTTACTGGAAATTATTACTAAAATTACCTGGAAATATTTGAGGAAAAGGAAGACAATTATATACATACTGTTTAATATGTTATTATGAACTACAATGACAGTTTTTTGTAGTAATGCGTCGAAGAGTTTATTAAGTCGGTGAAACTTTTAAGTTTTGTTGTAGATTCTTAATGAAGACACACCAGGGAAAAAATAGGGAAATAATGTCTTTCACAAGTTCATTTATGGGCGTATTACTTGAAATACTCTGAAGATTTACTAATTGAGACCAGGGATGATGTTTCTCACTAAACCAACATTTAGTGAGAAACACCAGCCTTAAACACAGTACCATACAGTTGGAATATGTTGAGGAGGACGGGAAAAACCTCAAGCAATTACAGTAGTAGAGTTCAACACTGTGTACATCACCCTCGACCTGACAGTGTGTACAAAAATAAAAGGACAGAGTTGAGAGACAAAGTGAGTTAGGCAGCGACCCACATAAGAATACTAGAGTAAAGATCACACGAGGTCAGGTATAGGAAGATGGAAAGGTGGAAGTACTGTAATGTTCCAGTTCTCGCATTACTAAGGGCAAGAGGCGACCTTCCTATAAATAATGTACATAATTTGCATGTTGTAGCTTTAAGTAATACTGTTAACCCAGAGAGATGAACAATCTAAAGGATACATGAGAGTGATTCACCTAACCCTCAAGGCCCACAGTGTTTATCTAGGACAGTGTTAGAAACCGGGCCGGGCCACTCAAGTGTTGGTACATGAATGCCACAAGTCTAGTTAATAAGACTGATGTATGTATTGGGTGCACAGAACAACCAGACACCATTGGGATCAGTGATTCATGGGTCCGTGAAGATGTGTCGTAGGGGGAATTTTATATACCAGGCCATCATCCACCTTTCAGAAAAGAGCTACAAGAGGTGGTGGTGTACTACTGTATGTCGAGGAACACCTGGCAGTAGTCAGCACTGACCACCTAAAAGAAATGGGATTATCTCAATCTATTTGGTGTGATTTGATAACACAAAGCAAAAGTAAGGTGTAGGTGACATCTTCATGGTCAGTACAAGCTCTCATCGTGGGAGATTTTAATCAGGAGACAATAGACTGGGTGAATCTTACCACAAGCTGAGGGAGAAGAAATCTTTGACCTCACTCAAGACTCCTTACACGACACGTGACGGAACCCAGCAGCATTTGGTCTTAATAACCGAGGCGGCAATAGTGGACGAGATCCACGCCAGGGAGAAACTAACTCCGGCCAGCGACCACTACTTGCTAAGGTGGAATACTGTCTCCGAAAGTCGGGAGAGAGAAGTTGAGGAGTAATACTAGGACTTGAACCATGAGGATCACCAGGTCATGTGGAACAAACTACGGAGAATTAACTGTAGGGGCAGGGTAACGTTAAAGACTCAGACGTAGATGAATCACGGTAATTATTCATTAATATCCTGGATCCAACAGGAAATCTCTAGGTCAAGGTAAAGCTCCCAGGAACAGGGAATCCACGAACGTAGACAAAATGCAGCAGAAAAATATAGGCCAATCAGACTAATGCCAAATATACAAGAAGATATTTTAGGGTCTCCACTATGTAACACCTGACCGAGCACAGTCATTGTCAACGCCTCACACACAACATGGGTTAATGGAGAGAGACTTCCCATGCCTCACAAACTTACTCACCTTCCTTAAAACAGAAACAGACCGAGAGTTAGGAATTATAAGTCGTAACTTCACATACAAAGATAAGTAAAAGCTCATTCAGTTTTAGTAGTGTCTCGTATATTGTATAAAGGTTAGGTTAGGTTTGGCGTGGTTAGGTTAGGTTTGGTGTTACACAGAGCGACTAAGATGATTCCTGAACATTATCTCGATTATCCATGTAGACTGATGGCCTTATGGGACTTAACCACCCTTCAGACAAGGCGCAATAGGGATGGTAAAGGAAAACCCGGGCCACTTTTTCTCCCCGTAATGTCACGCACTACCAACCCGACAGGACACAACATCAAACTCCTGAAGGTGTCATGGGGAACGAACATGAGGAGGGTGGTAGTGGTAGATCTATGGAGCAGTCTACCTACCAGCAACTAAGGCATAGAAGAGAGGATACCACTGGGCTTCTAAATACCCCTTACCAAGACTACCAAGAACAATGGGGAAAATAATAGGTTACTGGCTTCCTTCCCTCCCTCGTCTTAACCACCTCTAGTGACCATTAGATAAATAAACCCATTGCCTGTGTTAGATTATTCCCGTGTAATTAATGGATATAGGCTATACAGGGTTTCAGTCATATTATGAACTCATTACAGGTAGGTCAATTAGCATAGATAACTCGACCCAATTACTATTACCTTACCTGCCTAGTTTAGTTCCTCGGTGTAGTGATGTAATTAAGTCTTAATATCGGGCTTTCGTACAGGTAAGTATTATTGTTATTATCATTATTATTTAGTGTACTGGTACTTGATATTATTCATGAACTGGGAGTTACTCTTATTACCATCATCATTACGTACTGGTAACTGTGTGGGGGCACTGGTGAGTGAGGTTGACTGGCAGGCAGGCAGGCGGGCTGGTTGACAATGACCACCACCAAAATATTTAGCCAGCCAGGTGAACTCCGGGCAACTGGCCGCCTACCTGCCTCCCCTCTCTCTGCCCTTCCCCCCCCTCTCTCCCCCCCCTCTCACTCACCTCCCCACCTCACCTTACCTGCATGACGGGGCTGCCTGCACGGTCAAAATCCCGCCAGACGAGAAGTACCCGCTGGAACACAACCCCGCCACCACATAATACCGGTACTACCCAATACCGGTACCACCCAATACCGGTACCACCCAGTCAGAATTAAATTCCTTCAAGAAACCTATTAGAGTAAATGATATCCTTGCTTGGTTACGTTTGATTATGTTCTTGTTTTGATTATTATTGGAGGATTCATCTGAGGAAGGCTTTTAGGATTTTGTTGTTGTTGTTGGGTCTGTTTTAAGGAAGAGTTGTTGGTGTGTGTGTGTGTGTGTGACCTACCTGAAACAGCTGTCAAGGGATACCACCTCATTTACTCGTCAACTATCTAACTTTAACAACCTCTTAGATATGATGATTGCCTCACCTTACCTCTTACCTGCCCCCCCCCCCTCTCCCCTCCCCTGAGTACAGGTTCATTGTACTCAAGGGAATAGATTCATCTTATATAAAGGGTTAAAACTTCGCACTCGAGGAAATAAAGAATCTATCTGTCTAATATATCTGTCTATCTATTTAACTCAAGACAGGTGTGTGTGTGTGTTTTTCCTCCGGTCGCCATACAGCTTTAGCTTCTCAAACACCGGGATAGCTTTTTTTTTTTGGTGAGGCTTAGCTGTTGAAACACTCATAGTTGATGAGTCTTTGTGACGCTGTTAGTGTGGTAATTAGCTGTACCAACACAGTGACAGCTCTTTATTGCTACACTAGGCCTTGGCGGTTAGCTGTTTAAACACTTACTGTACTGGTCTTTACAGCACATTAGCTTCGATGTTTAGCCTATGGGGGGGACTTAATGACAGGTGTTATTACCTGGATGTTTAATTGTTTTACCTTTATTAATAGTTGACTTGGATGTTATTATTCGAGTTTTAATTCCTTTCACATTGTAAATGGTTTAATAATAATAATGATAATAATAATAATAATGATGATGATGATGATAATAATAATAATAAAATACTACTACTACTACAACTAATAATAATAATACTAATAACAACAATAACAGTAATCCGTAACAACTGTAAAGGTCGTTATTGCGCTTCGACTTGGGTATATTTTCATGCAATATTTATAATGAATAATACAGTATTGCATAAAGTTAGTTTGCAGTATTTCATGTTAGTACGCCTATTATTATTATTATTGCCATCATCATCGTCATTATTATTATTATTATCATCATCATCATCATCATCATCATCATCATCATTGTTACAGAACAGTTTGGTGGTATAAGTATTATAAATATTTACTTGAGGTTAAGACTTCATGACAGGATGTGTGAGAGACGTATATAATTATTTGCATTATAAAGACTCATGATAGCCTGGCACTACGCTCTCTTTCTTTCTTTCTTTCCGTTTCTCTCATTCTTTCTATCCTTTTTTTCTTTCCTCTCTCTCTCTCTCTCTCTCTCTCTCTCTCTCTCTCTCTCTCTCTCTCTCTCTCACCAGTTCCGTAAAGACAAAGAAGGATAAACCAGCCATACCCTCATGACGTCACTAGTATCTCAGCTTGATGGTCAACAGACACACGTTAAATAATAATGTAATCATCCTCTCACCACTGCATCGTCCGCCTCTATGATTATTACAACCTGTGGACTCGTAAGTGAGATTTTTATATGTTTAAGTAACCATCCAAGAGTTGTCGTGGTGGTGGTGTAAAGTTGACTTATTTACTTAACAAGGTGTAAAGTAATTCAGTTGGGGTTTTTTTTTGTTAAGGCTTCGTTCGTGTTTAGGTTAGGTGAGGGGAGGGGAGGGTAGGTTAGGTTTTGGTTTGGTTAGGTTTTTGTTTAGGTTAGGTTTTGGTTTGGTTAGGTTTTGTTAGGTTTTGTTAGGTTTTGGTTAGGTTTGGTTATGTTAGGTTAGTTATTTGTCATATTTCCGTGACAGTGTTGTGGGGCTTCTGAGTGACACGTGTTCTGTCTCTCGCGTCACTGTAAGGTTTTAAGGTCAACCTCGAGTGGTTACATGAGAGGTGTTACTCGAGCGTTGGTGTTGTCATTCGAGCGTTGTTGTTGTCAGTAAAAGAGCGAGTGTTGTCAGTCCAGATGAATGTTACCAGCCACCACAACATATCCTAATCAACCAACCAATTACTTGACTTAACAAATCTTTAATTATCTCTTATGCAACAGACCAGGTATTAATGGTGGGTGGGTGTGGAGGGGTGGGGGAGATGGGAGGAGGAGTAATGGGATGGGGATGGTGGGAGATGGGAGGGTGGTGGGAGATGGGAGGAGGTAAATGGGAGGGATGGTGGGAGAGATGGGAGGGTGGTGGGAGATGGGAGGAGGTGTGGTGGGGAGGTTGGGGGGAAGGGGAGGACTTGTCTTCTTATCATTAACACACTCACCTAAATACCTCGTTCATTAATTTAATTATCACAGGTTCATTAATTTGTCAGGTGTGGAGGATGGAAGACTGAAGGTGAGAGTGACTCGTACCTGAGTTAACGGGGAAGTTACAGGTACAGTGAGTTACAGTCATCTCTGTAACTCATACCTGTTACTGAGAGGGGGAGAGAGAGAGAGAGTGTGTGTGTGTCAGTCATCGCCGTAACACGCACCTGTTGCTAATGAGGGGGTTAGGTCGCGTTGGCAGGTGTTAGATCACAGGTGTGTTTTGAGCAGCTGTGTTGAGAATATACATTAAAATCCCTTACCAGTACGTTTCCTATATTATAACTTCTCGTCTATGGGTTATTTTTTATTTGTGGTTCATTATATATCGGTATACTGTATATTTATTTCCCCAGTCCAGTTAGAATAGTATAATGTGTAGGTTATAATTAGTTTTCTGATGTGATATAGCAGTACTTAGCATATATTATAGAAACGCACTCTCTCCTATAGTGATATAGGGAAGTGTGTCAAGAGATCAATCATGTTGTATACCGGTATATGTATGGAGGTATATAGACACATATGTAGAAAGTCATATATGAGGGGGGGTACTGAAGTATGTGGTGTGAGGTTATGAGGAGTTATGTTGGGGTCTCTCTCTCTCTCTCTCTCTCTCTCTCGTGTTGTGTAAGGCTCCGAATTCTCATCAAAGATTGTTGTTGTTTTTAGGTGAGACAGCAGCTCTATACATGTCTTGCTCACTCACTCGTTCACACACACACACACACACACACACGGTATGATACAGGACTTGTTCACATTGAGGCGCCAAGTATTTATTTTTTATTTTATTTTTTTATTTTTTTTATTGGGCACCCCCCTACATCCTTGTGTAAGGTGAAGCGCAGAAGCATTTACAGCGCCCAACAGGGAAGCATGCTAAGTTCATGCTTGCCTTTATGTCTCATGAGTCAAGGGCGTAGAAGCCTAAAGAGTCAATGGCGTAGAAGCCTGAAGAGTCAAGGGCGTAGAAGCCTGAAGAGTCAATGGTTTTTATGTCATCAAGTTATTGGAAGCTCCAACAACTTGTCCCTGAATACGAATTCGCAACTTTCGATTTCCACCAGGTACCTACTTTACTGCTAGGTGGACGGGGACTAAGTATGATTCTAAATGACCGTGACCTTCAGCTGTGACCGTGACCTCTGACCCGCTGTAGCGATGATGTTATATTCAAGCGGAGATTCATACCTATATCTATGTCCGGGTTGGGGTTGATGACGAATGATAGATAGATAGATAGACAGATAGATGATAAACCCTGGTGATATGTTTTCATCTGGAGAAAATAATACTAATAATAATAATAATCCACTCCTTGTCGTCTAACAGATGGTTGTAAACATTTAATAAATCCTTACCAGTCACTAAGATAATATTCCTCCCCTCCCCCTTCCCCCTCCCCTTCCCCTCTCCCCTACTCCCCCCTCCTCTTCCTCCTTCTCCACGCTTGGATAAACCATTAAGCTGTCAAACGTAGCACAGAGACGATCACTCGACGGCAGTGAACCAAGGATGAGAGTTTTTGTTGTGTTGTAGTGAGCTGGTGCGGCGGGTCCATCTTCCTCCCTCCTCCTCCTCCTCCTCCTCTTACTCCTCCTCCTCCTCCTCCTCCTCCCCTCCTCCTCTCCTCCTCCTCCTTCACTTACTAACAGACAAACTCCTGACACACATACTGCATTTATTCTCGTGTGTGTGTGTGGGTGGGTGTACGGATCTGTGTGTGTGTGTGTGTGCGCGTATGTCTAGACCTACTTTGCACACGTACGCGCTCTGGTATGTGAGTATATATGTGTGTGCGTGTGTGTGTGTGTATTGTTGCGTAAGTTTTTCTCTCACTTCGTCTCCGTCTCTCGTATGTATGTATGTATGTATGTATGTATGTATGAAGAGATTTAAGGCATGTCCTGCACAAGCTCTCTCTCTCTCTCTCTCTCTCTCTCTCTCTCTCTCTCTCCAGCAGTCACAACACGAGAACAGCTTAATTATCATTATGGAATTTTTAGTATTTTAACCAGCCTCCAGCAGCCGCGTGTAAAATCCCGACAGGCAACTGAATCTGCACCGGTAGGGGGTTGAGTGTTGCAGGGAGGGTGTGGGGTTAGATGGGGTTGGGTGGGGTGGGAGTAGAGGTTGAGGGGAGTTGCCAGTTAGTTCCAGGCCCACAAAATACTCCTGCAATAGAGGGCTAGTTTTTATGAGCAAATTCAATTTATTTTTGTAACTATACAGTGTACTATCCGAGGAACAGCGAGAGAAAAAACTTGTTATCATTATAATTTTTAGCATTTTTAACTTAGCCTCCCAGCAGCCGCGTCTTAAAAAATCCCACGAGGCAACTGGAATCTGCACCGGTAGGGGGGTTGAGGGGGTGTTGCAGGAGGGTGTGGGGTTAGATGGGGTTGGGTGGGGTGGGAGTAGAGGTTGAGGGGAGTTGCCAGTTAGTTCCAGGCCCACAAAATACTCCTGCAATAGAGGGCTAGTTTTTATGAGCAAATTCAATTTATTTTTGTAACTATACAGTGTACTATCCGGGATGATCTCCTTGTAAACCACTGGCGGAGTACACTCCAACAGGTGTGGTAAATGATGACAGTTGTGGGAATTTATGTGATGTGGAGAGTAGGTAGGCACAGTTCTCCTCCCTCTCCCTCCTTCCTCCCTTCCCTTCCCATCCTCCCTTTACCTTCCTCTATCCTCCCTTCCCGGCCCTCCCAACATCCCACTCCCTCCCTTACTTCCCCACCCACCTTACCTTCCCCACCCACCCTTACCTCCTCCCACTCCACCCTTACCTCCTCCCACCAATCTCTTACCTCCCACCCCTCCCCCTTACCTCCTCCTACTCCACCTTACCTCCCTCCCACCCTCCCTTTACCCTCCTCCTACTCCACCCTTACCTTCCCTACCCACCCTACCTCTCCCACCACCCCTTACTCCCCACCCTCCCTTACCTCCCTCCCACCCACCCCACTCCTCCTCCCACCCTCCCTCACTCCTCCTCCCAGCCCACCCCCTCTCACTCCTCCCTCCCACCCACCCCATTCTCTCCCCACCCTCCCCACCTCCCTCCCCTACCCTCCCTACCTCCTCCCCACCCACCCTTTACCTCCTCCTACCCACCCCTTTCCACCCACCCCACTCCACCCCTCATCTCCCTTACCTCCTCCCACCTCACCTCCTCCTACTCCACCCCACCTCCCTCCCACTCCACCTCCTTACCTCCCCACTCCACCCTCTACCTCCTACTACTCCACCTCTTACCTCCTCCCATCACCCCTTTACTCCCCCCCTTACCTTTATGAGACTATGGCCACTTTGTTTATGTACGACAATCTTCACTTTTTATATACGTATGTGTGTGTGTGTGTATGTGTGTATGTGATTTAAATATGTATACAACTACATATACAGTAGTTATATGCATCTATTTACAGACCTATATACGCATACATACATACATACATATATATACAAACTTACATACTCACACATACACACATAGAGTCAGCTGATCCAAAATGGCGTCCAAAATACGTCAAGACTCTACCGTATCATCCCAGACTAGGAACAGATAAGCTTAAAATTTATTGAGAATCCTGACTTCCGCCGTCTTGATCGTCTTGACCAAGTTGTTATATAATGTTACCCAGACACGTATAGTGAACCCCCTCCTTATAACGGACTTTTCCTTTAATCCGTTAAATTGAGAGGGTTTTACATCTAACGTACCCTCGATATAACGGACTTCCATCTCCATATAATCCGTTAAATAGAGGTTTCACATCTAACGGACTCTCGATATAACGGACTCATCTCCATATAATCCGTTAAATAGAGGTTTCACATGTAACGGACCCTCGATATAACGGACTCTCATCTCTATATAATCCGTTAGAGGTTTTACTGTACTCTTACGTGGAAGTATTTTATATAATCACTTAACGTCAGAGAGAGGAACAGTGAGTGTACGATTTTGTGAGGAGTTTAACAGTTCTTTATATAACTATTTAAAAAGGTATTAACATATGTATAAATGGATATGTATATGTGTATGTATATGTAGTAGATATTGATGTGTATGTATGTTTCCTATGTGGTTATCAGCACATACATGGATCACGCTCACCTATAGTGATTTATTTTGTTTTTATGTGTCTGTGTATGTTTGTATGTGTCTGTGTATGTATGTATGTTTGTATGTAGGTAGGTAGGTAGGTAGGTTCTGCATGTTTGTGTGTGTGTGTGTGTGCGTGTGTGTTGGAACTGACAGATGTGTAAAATTAAGCTCACTTTCCACGAGTCAGTGGTGTTAGGTATTATTATTGTTATTATTATTATTATTATTATTATTATTATTACTATTGTTATTATTATTATTACCATTACTATTGTTATTATTATTATTATTATTACTATTGTTATTATTATTATTATTATTATTATTATTATTATTATTATTATTAGTATTATTTATCCTATAAGAAAAAAAAATATGCTTGGGATGGAGGGCCGTGGTCACCAACCCTCAGAGATGGTGATGGTACCGTGATTGATTGGCTGATTGATTGATTGATTAATTGATTGATTGATTGATTGATTGATTGTGATATAACTCAAGAAATATGTTCCTTCGTTCACTGCAAATCTCTCTCTCTCTTTTCTATTGTCTCCTGTGTGTTATCTCATCTCCGTTTCTCATTTCATCTCTCTTTCTTCTTAAACAAAAAACAAACAAACTTTAGGGCATAAATATAACTTTTTATTTAATTATTTATAAATATTTTTTCAAAGTATAATGAGCGAAAAATAATGTAAAATAAGTAAAAAAATAAATAAAATAGTATAGATGAGGGAAAAAATTAAATTGCAAATGAACGTAAATTTGTGGACGTGAGCGAAATAATATGGAGTTAAATGTAATAATTGGCGGCCTCATTTATGTATTCAGGCTAATTTGCTCCATTTGTAATTATATCGTTTTATTTTTTTGTGGTCAGTCTTTCGTCCGTGATTTGGGGGTACAGTTGTGTCTTGTGTGTTTGTTTATTTTCATTCATTCATTCGTTCTTTCTTTCTTTCGTTCTTTCTTTCGTTCTTCTTGTAGTTCATTCATCGTTATGGTTCATTTGTAATTCTTAAGTACTCATGATCATTCTTTTAGCTAATTATTCATCATTCTCACGACTCATTCATCGTTCGTCATTCTTGAGAGTCATCATTCTTCTTCATTCTCACGAGTCATTTTTCATCATTCTTGCGACTCATCATCATTCTTCATTCTTGAGTCATCATTCTTCTTCATTCTCACGAGTCATTTTTCATCATTCTTCATTCTCACGATTCATCATCATTCTTTCGACTCATCATTCTTCATTCTCACGAGTCATTATTCATCATTCTTGCGACTCCTCATTATTCTTATTTATCATTATCATTCTGCCCCAACATCATTCTCACTCATCTTTCCCACGACGCCACACCGCTGTTTCTGTCCAATTTCCTGCACTTTCCCTCTTCATCATTCTTCCCAATTAAACATTCTCCCCTGTCCCAATTACTCTCTCTCTCTCTCTCTCTCTCTCTCTTTCTCTTCCTCTTCCATTCAGTCTCCTCTTACGTTCATCTTTTCCCTCCCACCCTCTCCCCCTCCCTCCCCCTCCCTCCCCTCTCATTCTCCTCTCCATCCTCCCTCCCACCTCTCCCCCTCTCTCGCCCCCCACCTCCAGCCTAATTGGTCAGATCCAAGTAGCACACACTTGCTATATTGATTATGGTGAACACGGCATATGTCCCTGGGGGTGAGGGGTGGGGGAGGAGGGGGTAGGGGGGGAGAGAGGGGGGTGAGGGTGATGGAGGAGGGAGAAGAGATGAAGGTGAAAGGAGGAGAAAAGGAGGTGGAGGATGAGGAGGAAAGAGTAGGAGGAAGGGATTAAGATTGTGGGAAGAATGGAGAAGTAGGAGAGGTTGATAAAGATTGAGAGAGGAAGGAGGAGAGAGAGGTGATAAGAGAGAGATAGAAGGGATGAAAGAGAAGTGGGAGGATTTGATGAAAGGTGATAGGGAGTTATGGAGGAAAGGAGAAGTAGATAAGACGAGACGGGGGAGGAGGAAGGGAAGGAGGAGGAGGAGGAGGAGGAGGCTGAGCTACATATTAAGTGGAGCGTGGAAGACTAGGTACTGTGGTGGTGGTGGTGGTGGTGGTGGTAGTGGTTATGGTGATAGTGGTGGTGGTGGTGGTTATGGTGATGGTGGTGGTAGTGGTTATGGTGATGAGTGGTGGTGGTGGTGGTGGTGAAGTGGTTATGGTGATGGTGGTGGTGGTGGTGGTGTGGTATGAGTGGTTATGGTGATGGTGGTGGTAGAGGGAATGTTCCTGGTTCCTGTTGCTGGGTATCATCGGAGGGGGGTAACTATTCTGTTCTGTTTTGCAATGGAGTTTGTCCAGTGCCTATACATTGTTGATGTGTGTGTGTGTGTGAAGGGGATGGAATAAGAGGAGAAAGAGAAAGGGAGGGCGAGGGAAGAAGGAGAGAGAGATTTTAAACACATATTAGAGTAACACACACACACACACACACACACACACACATCACCTCCTACGACTGCCCAATCATCGCGAGGAGAAGCAAAAAAAATCAACTAAAGTACTTAAAATCACAAAATGTCGTGAAATTTCTTGAGACATCTTCAACAATTCCTAACCTCCCTCCCTCCCTCCCCTCTCCCCGCCCCCGAAGATTCCCATTCAAGAAAGTGTTATCCCACATTTCTTTTCGTTGGCCCTTCATCACACCTCGCAAAACGCTGAAGGAGAATACAAAAAAAATAATAATAAAAATGATGAAAGGAGGAATAAGATTTTAAAACCACGTGTAGTTCCTCAGTTAGTTTACATCTAGACAATAAAAAAATAAATATATATTATCCTTATAATTTGTTTACATATACGAGTGAAATATATTCCTTCCTCTTGATTATGTTCGGAAAATATTATTACATTTGTTCGGCCGACTGTAAAACTTGATGACTCACTCTCTTGATGATTATTTGAAAATCCGGTAAAAAACAAATAAAAGTTTAGACGTTTTGAAATATATCGTAAGAGAGGGTGATATATATCGTAAGAGAGGTGATATATATATCGTAAGAGGTGAAATATATCGTAAGAGTGGTGAAATATATCGTAAGAGGGTGAAATATATCGTAAGAGAGGTGAAATATATCGTAAGAGGGTGAAATATATCGTAAGAGTGGGAAAAATATATCGTAAGAGAGGGTGAAATATATCGTAAGAGAGGGTGAAATATATCGTAAGAGAGGGTGAAATAGGAAGTAAAATCGTATGATATATGTGTAAAACTCCCCGTATATTGTATGATGTGTGTATACTCTGAAGAGACAGTCGGGTGTATCTGTATAGTGTATTTTAAGGTTGATTTTTGGTGTATATATATTTGGTTAATACAGTATATGACTTTACGGCTGCGTATTGTTCTTGTTGTAGGTTGTAATTTGACTTGTGTATTATTGTTGTATATGGCTTTCTGTCTATCTATCTATCTATCTGACTGACTATCTATCTATCTATCTATCTATCTATCTATCTATCTGTCTATCTATCTATCCATCCCATATAATATTTACCCTGAACACCTTAATTTATATTTCCTCTTGTCCTATATTCTGCCAGACGTCATTAAATAAATATATCTTGTAACTCCAATATATCCTCTACGACATGTTTACTTAAGGGTGAAATCAGTTTGCCTTGACATTTATTGAGTGTTTAATATATATTCAGTTCACGGGGACCATATATCGCCCCCCCCTCCTCCCCTCCCCCTCCCTCCCCCCCCTCCCCCCTCCCCGCCTACGACAAACGAACTTTTTTTATGCTTTATAAAATTATATATGGGTTGTGGGGAATTTGGGGAAAATGTCAACGTTTTTTTGTTTTAGGAGAATATGAATTGTGTGTGTGTGTGTGTAATGGGCATGAGTCATCCTACCATGTTTGGAAGTGGTCCTTGGACATTCCCCAGTGACACACACCAGCCCACATCTGTAAAACTCCACACCTACACTGATCCAGGCAGAGTTAGCGACACACCTGCCCCACACCTGTAAAACTTCACCTGCACTGATCCAGAGCAGGTTGGCGACACACCTGCCCCACACCATTAAAACTCCACACCTGCACTGAGTCGAGCAGGGTTGGCACACCTGCCCCACACCTGAAAAACTCCTTACCTACACTGGTGGGCAGGGTTGTGACACCTGCCCACCAAACTTCACCTGCACTGGTCCAGGGGTTGGCGGCACCTGCCCACACCTGAAAAACTCCCACCTACACTGGTCAGGCAGGATTGGCACTTTACCTCCCCACACACACATAAAACTCCCTACTCGTCCAGGCAGGGTTAGCGACACACCTGCCCCACACCTGTAAAACTCCACACCTACACTAATCCAGGCAGGGTTAGCGACACACCTGCCCCACACCTGTAAAACTCCACACCTACACTAATCCAGGCAGGGTTAGCGACACACCTGCCCCACATCTGAAAAACTCCATTTCTACACTGATCCAGGCAGGGTTGTTCAGCATATTGGCTCACCTGCACATCTGCCTATATAAAACTTTGGCCACTAAAACTAATCCAGATGTGTTTTTTGTTGTGGTGTTTTGTCGTGTGTGTGTGTGTGTGTGTGTGTGTGTGTGTGTGTGTGTCTCACTGATGGTCGTTTTCTTATGTTGAATTATTTTTGCGTACTGACAACCCACACAGACACAGATAAATGATAATAATAATAATAATAATAATAATAATAATAATAATGATAATAATAATGATGACCTAACCTAACCTACCCACATGGACGCTGGCCAGGGGTAAGCTCCTCACACAGGCAGTTGTTGTGTTCCAAAATAAATTGCATAAAAATGGAAAGAGAAAATATTTTTGTTTTGCTCCGGGAGGCAGACGAACAACCAAGGGGATTAGGCTCACTGCCCACCAGGTCCTTTAGTGTGTGTGTGTGAGGGTTGGCGACCACAGCTCTCCATTCCACTGAGGTACCGAGGTCACTGTGAGGTACTGAGGTCACTGTGAGGTACCGAGGTCACTGTGAGGTACTGAGGTCACTGAGGTACTGAGGTCACTGTGAGGTACCGAGGTCACTGTGAGGTACCGAGGTCACTGTGAGGTACCAAGGTCACTGTGAGGTACTGAGGTCACTGTGAGGTACTGAGGTCACTGTGAGGTACTGAGGTCACTGTGAGGTACCGAGGTCACTGTGAGGTACTGAGGTCACTGTGAGGTACCGAGGTCACTGAGGTACCGAGGTCACTGTGAGGTACTGAGGTCACTGTGAGGTACCAAGGCCAGCAAATGTAACACTGACAATGGACTCGTATAACTTAGATACGAGTTACATACACAGACTAGAGTATACAAACATACTCGCTGTGTATACCAGGAATTTTGTGTCGGTATAATCTAGTTTAGCATTCAGTGTTACGATACCTACTTTACAAACTTTCTGCCATCGTGTAAAGTTTATAATTTTACGATGATACTTTGATACTTTTTTCGTTTACTTTTATTCGCCAGTGTTTTAGTTACCAGTAGTTTGTTAAAGTGTAAAGGAGTCACAATAACAGTGTTCAAATTTCCACTGGTGTTTATTTATTCAGTTGGAAATTTTTGAAAGTAAATTTTAAAGACACAAGTTGTATTAGATGAAATTTTAAAAGCGTTAATTTTTTGGGGGTGGTGGTATTTTAAAAGTTTGTGAAGAAAATTTTAATTCTGTACCAAGAAAATTGGTTATATACGGTAGGTGGATATTAGAAACT